TTTACTGACAAAAATAGGGAATTATCGTGTCCATCTTGCCCCACTCAAATATTGAGACACGGGGGAACTGAAAATAATAATAATGTGTTCAGCTTCAAAAGTTTGCTCGTAGAAATCTCATCTGGAGTGAATCAGTATCATCAATTTCGAATAAATTTATGCAAGTCTTGCAAGTTCGTACGGTGGTAAGGTTTTTTACAACTTGTAATCCCGTTTCTAAAAATTAAGTGATGTTACGTTTGTATGTTTCAGAATTAAGACCTCAGCCCTCCTAAATTCGAGAGAATGGGAAAAGTTGAAGGGAAGGGAAGAAGTTGATATTGCATAGTTGAGTTATCGACAGGGAAGAAGGCGCAAGTCGCACCATATTCTGGAGCCATATTACTAATTGTTGCTGTCTGCAATCGACAGCTTGGTGACTCCACTGCCAAAGAATTCGACCGAAGTTACGTATTTTTCTCTGCCTGGCACTCCTTCAGAGATACGTCCAAATTAGAAAGCGGCTTTTATTACACGGGTGAGATTCGGTATTTTCGGCAAAATGCAAAGTTTGGGAATTACTGAATTACTAAAGTTGACCATTATAACTTTGTTCTTGTCCTAGGTTCGAAGACCCACAAGCAGCGAATTGTAAACCAAGAAGTGCAAAAGAAGGCTTGGCTAGATGCCCAAATTGCCGAAAAGTAGATGTGTTCACGTTACAAATTTGTAAATAGGAAATGATAAGTTTTTGAATTGCAAAAATGTATCTAAGTTTTTGAGCTTGTCTAATTCGAATTTTACCTTGGAAATAGTTACATGCAGAAATTATAGTTAACTTTTGCTAGCTAATTAAATGCCATGAAACGTATTTAAATAATTACTCAGATTTATAGAATGTGTAATGGAATGCAATAGTTTCAAACAATGAATGGAATTTTTATACAGGAAAAACACAATTTGACACAATAGTTCGTATATCAGGTCACAAAAATCTTATTTACAAATTGCTCAATAAACTCGATATTTTACAGATGGATTCCAATATTAGCTCACACAATCACATATATTTATAGAAGGATTCAAATTAAACAAAATTTACAGATGGATTCAAATTAAACACAATCATACAATTTTATACAAGGATTCCGAAATAAGCACACAATCACACAAATTTACAGCAGGATTCAAATTTAATACAATCATAAATACAATTTTATAGAGGGATTCCGCAATAAACACACAATCACACAATTTACAGAAGGATTCAAATTTAACACAATCATACAATTTTATAGAAGGATTCCGAAATAATAAGCACACAATCACACAATGGGCCGTATATCAAAAACAAAGATACAACGTATGAAAAATATGAAACGAGCGAGACTATGGGGATCACTTCAATCCACGCCAATTCCGGATACCTCAGAGGCTACCCGGGAGCGGTCCCCTGTGCAACTTGAATTTGTCGATGCACAGGAAATGGAGCCGACGTTTGAGGAAATTGGTGTGTCTGATAATATTGAACTCTCCCCCCCTGCAAGTACTAGGTCTCAACAATTAACACCAACTCGTAGCTTACCATTCATACGTGGTAAGAGACTTTTTCGAAGTTCGACATCCTTCTATTCAGAGTCACAAGTGTCTCCAAAAACTTTGGAAGTGAATAGGAGTTGCTTGGGAAAAGCGAGGACATATGGAAGAAGCTCTGAAATTCTACAAGATCCTGAAATTCCAAATCTAGCGACAGAACCTGTAGCAAAATTGCCAGAGGGAAGAAGACTCTTCACCATGACATCTCTTGAGAATATGATGGAAATGGCTGCAGATCACGCTCGAGTTTGTAACCGTCCTAAGTGGAGAATTGTTAGTGAGAACAGAAAAGGCTTTTTGACAACCCTATCCGCGTTATGTATTCGATGCAAATCTACAATTGCCTTCGACAACGACGACGGCGCTAAATGCTTAGCTGTAAATACAGCTTCTGCATGGGCAGGGAATACCACTGGAGCAGGGTATACAATACTCAAACACATTTTCACCGCCATGGACGTACCCACCATTGCCTTCAATTCTTATATCGAACATGACAAGAAATTGGCGGAGCAAATTAAAAACTCTTGGACACAGCAGCTGGTTGAGAATGGCCAAGAAGAAAAAGGATTAGCCATAGAACTAGGGCAGGTTGATTCGGATGGTACTCCTTGGACATGGGTTTATGGAGACGGTCAGTGGAGTAAACGGTCCTACAATCATGTCGGACTAGCACTTTCCGGGTCAGCAGTTATTATAGGTGGTCTTTCTAGGAAGCCCTTATTCATTGGCGTTAGAAATAAATCGTGCATTATCTGTAGTAGGAACGGGAACAAAGTTCACGACGGTTGCTTCAAAAACTTCAAAGGCTTAGCTTCTGAAATGGAAACTAGTATCATTCGCGAGGGATTCGCAAACAGTATTGAGCAACATGGACTTCGTTATAAGAAATACATTGGTGATGGAGATTCAAGTGTTCATGTTGCTATCAAAGATGTGTATATCACGGAATCGTACTTCACCACTGTCGAAAAAATCACCTGCAGCATTCACGGACCTAGAGCGATGTCTCGTAGTTTGTATGGACTTGCTGCCCTAAGCGCTCCAGCGCACAACTACCCTGTGCAATATCGACAGGCGCTAAAAGAAAGAATTCACTTGTTCGGGAAATTTGCCAAATATATGATTGGAAATCATATGGAAAAAGCGCCAATCACGAACTCTACCTCCTTGGCCAAGGACTTACGAGCCCTTCATTATCACATATTTGAGGATCATTCGAAATGCTCGACACATGTCTGTGACGATGGCAAAATAATTGTTCCCATGAAGTACCGCAAGCCTACAAACGTTGCTTCCAATTCTCCGAAATTGAAGAAGGTTCCCGACGGAATTCAAGGACACCGATTCTGGACAGCGATTTCGGACATTGTCAATCGGTTTGCGGATCTCTCACCCTCACTAATGCAGAATAAGAATACTAACATTGCTGAATTATTTCAAGCTCATGTAAACAAATTTCTGCAAGGAAGACGAACAAATGTGGTCATGCGGGGCTCCTACAATAAGAAAGTAATGGAAGCAGGATTCTCGTTCCTATACGGGACAACCTGGTACGTCGAGCTGTATCGATTAGTTTTCGATGAAAACCCATCAGACCTTTGGATTCAAGAAAGGTCAAAGGATCTTAAACAAGCTGAGAACAGAAAGTCAAAGCCTCGAAAGAAGCGACTTCGCGTGGCTCTTTGCACTTCAACCCCACTTCCCCCGTTTTTTAGTCGGAAACAGAAAATAAATGGTGACAAGGACTACGGTCTCCATGCTGAGCGAAACGATATGTCCCCGGATTTGTTACAGGAAAAACTGGACGAGTTGATACTGCAAAAAAGCGTATCGTCCCCAGAGGAACAGTGGAACGTTCATCTTGAAACCATTGGACAGCATTCCAACCCACGGTATAAAGATCGTCGTAAGGGAATGCTAACAGCCAGCATTGCCGGCAAGCTTCTAGGGCTGAAGGATTCGACTTCAAACGTGGGGACATTGGATGGGTTACTCTACCCTGACGATATTTCAAATAAGCCACCAATAGTTTGGGGACACGTAAACGAGTCGAAAGCCCGAAGCTTGTACCAACAACGATTAAAATGGGAAGATAACGATACAGAGGTGGAAGTGTCAGATGCAGGACTATTCGTCTGTTTGGAATTTGGAGTTCTCGGGGCGAGTCCTGATGGGATCGTGTATGACCATGGGGAGGAAGGAATTGTCGAAATTAAATGTCCCTACACTGAAAGATATGGCCTGCCCGGTGAAGTCGCAAAAAGAAAAACCAATGCCTTTCTGGATGAATATGAGGAGAATGGTACGAAACATTACCGTCTCCGGAAGTCATCCCATTACTACGACCAGGCAGTCATGCAGCTCCACATCACAAGGCGGATATTTTGCGATCTGGTCGTATGGACGCAAGGGCCGATGACAAGAAATGAACTGGCAGGCGAAGATTATCCCATCACTAAAGAAGGACATTTGATCCGTATTCGTATTTACAGGGATGGCGAGACTCAGAAGAGATGGGACAAAATTCGCCTAAAGTTGACTCGATTTTTCTTGGAGGATTATGGGCCAGAACTTGTCGATTCACGGATCGATCGGAACATGGGGTATCGTCAGCCCTTGTACAGGAAACAAAAGATTGACGAATTGGCAGATAAAAAGACCAATCCGCAGCCACCAAAAATGCCAAGGAAAAGAAAATGTGATTCGAAACAACAAGTTGCAAAATCTCAGCAACCGTCAACTTCCAAGCGTGCTTTCAATATTCAATAATGAAATAAACCATGGTAAACGCACATAAAAAATATCTTTAGTCTTATTTCATCCCATTAAAAAACCTTTATTACAACCACTGGACCCCACGAATGGGCCATTACCCAGGGAGGGAGAAGAGTACCTGAGCCTGGCAGTGGGGAAAAACGAGAAAAACCCACTGCAGGCACTAGGACTTGAACCCAGCACCTCCATTCAGCCCACTCAGGTGGACGGTAAGCAGGACGGCATTTCTGCCACTCCGCCTCGTCACCCTTCACAACATGCCCATCACATCCCATTCATGCCCATCACAACGCGGGAACACTCAATTTCGCTATATTTCATGCATTGATTCAATTTCAGTAAAAATCTCATTTTGCCCCGACCACACCCCCTGGGTGTGAAGCAGGTTGTCCGATTGGCCTCATAAGGTCATATGCATAATGCCGCAAACCGATGTCGATTACCTCTATTCGATCCCGCGTTACCCTGCTAACAAACGGACAGACAGACGGACAAAGTCTTGGCATAAAGTAGAAGATGCTACCCAATAATTTTTTATTCTCTCAAAAACTTAAAAATTTTTAAAATTGTATTGGAAAGGGTGAGATTATTATTGCTATAAATAAATAAATAGATTTAAAATACTGACTATTTTGTATCATGTTTTTATTGCATTTTTGATTTTATTTTATTTCGTCGTCAACGATTGAAATATTTGGAAACTAAATCCAACTGATGAGCGATAAGCATATCTCGGTCCATTTGAATTTGTGCGGGGTTAGGGGGAACATGGAGGTGAACCACTTCCTCCGTGCATGGAGTCGCCCGTTGTTGCCGAGCTGAAGGTTGGGCAGGCGTCGGGAGTAGAGCGGGGCGAGGATTGCGACGTGGTAGTGAGGATCGGTGGTGGCCTGTTTCGGCCTTATTTTCCCAGTAGGTAACCCTTATTGGACGTCCCGCGACCCGATAACCGTCCAAATGCTCCAACGATCTCTTTGCATCTTCTGCTTTGTGGAACTAATAACGAAATTATTTCCATTAATGTATGTAGGCTAGAACTATATAGGCATAAATTTATTTTATAATAAGCCTCACTGTAATGAATCCAAACCCCTTTGACCTTCCTGTCTTGTGATCTTTCATAAGAGAAATTTCTTTGATTCGTCCGGAAGGTTCGAAAATCCCTCGTAACATTTCCTCTGTGATGTTAAAGTGAAGCGATCCGACGTACAGCTTCATGGGATCATGGGATTGAGCGGGTGCAGCTTCCGCCACCTGACCCAGGCGTTTCTTCTCGGCCTGCGAAGGTTTTACGATTATTGGGATGTCCAGCAGCTTCTTCCCTCCCAGACCTAAAGCCTGCAATGAAAGATTAGATAAGAAAGTGTGGCTGGTATTTATGCATCAATCGACAAGTCTTGAGCACTGACCAAAGCGACAGAACTGATATCCTTAAACTCCACATAAGCAATCCCTTTAAATCGCCTCGTCTTATTACTCGTTATCATCCTTACGTCTCGAACCTGGAATACAATGTTCATCAAAATTTAGACAACCACTTATCTTATAATTAACTAATCATCCACTCAACTCACCTTTCCTACCGAGGAGAAAAAATCCTCTAAATCTCTCGCTCGCACCCGTTGACTCAACTGCATGCAAAACACGGTCCGAGCATCGCGCTCTTCTGGAGTGAGCGGCTCGTTATCCCGGAGGCGAAGGGGGGATCCTGGCGATCTCGATCGGGAACGACCACCTTGACGGGATCCACGCCCTCGGGCTGGAGATTCAGACCTAGATCGAACCCGGCGGGAAGAACGCGAAGTTGGAGAACGTGACCGATTTCGACTGGGAGGAGATTTAGAGGATGCTCGACCAGAGGAACGATCCTTTGAGCGGTTGCGGTCCGATCGGTGTGACTTCTTCTCGCGGGAGGAGCTCCGACGACGGGATGATTGAGACGGGGAACGACGAGAAGATTTTTTAGAGGACTTTCCTTTGTCGGAACTTCTTCGCCGTTCAGGAGAGGAGGATGAGGCAGAGGATGATCGTCCCCGGCGATCTACATAGTTTGTGATGTAGACAATCTTTCCGCCTCCACCAAGAAGAAGAATAACATCAAGGGTCGACTCTGCAAATAATGAAAATATGATTGAATGTAGATGAATGAGTTTAATATTTATAATTGTTCTGTAAAAATAGTCACCTACCTTTTTTAATTTCGTAATCAGAAAGTGTCCTTCCCTCTTCCAATTGTTTACCGGCAAAGATCAATCGCTGTTGGTCTGGGCGGGTCGCTGCAAGCAAAAACAAAGTTAACTCTTAGACAAAGACAATAATGAATCTGACACACATTAAACGGAAAACTACAAACTAAAGCTCAACAAGATAGCGAAAATAACTTTGGCTTAGATTTAAAATAAACGTACCTACTTTGTCCTGGATTTTTGTCTTGACATTTTCAATTGTATCTCTTGATTCGACCTCAAGGGTCACAGTTTTGCCCATGAGGGTCTTAACGAAGATTTGCATTTTTGCCAAATATTTGAATTGCCAAATTTAAAAAATTTATAGTTGCTGCGATCCGGATGTGAGCTGGTTGGCAGCGTGGTAGATGGAAGATTTTTATGTTTCCCACCGTCTCTCCAGCCACCAACTCACATCCGGACCAGCCAGCGCCATCCACCCTCCGCAAGGAGAACCGCAGTGTCCTGTCTCGGCACTTAAGAGATCGCCGCTGTCCTCTGTGTCTTTTAGTTATGAGATTTTTGCAACGTATGTGCCGTCTTAAAGTGCGCCGTGGATGCGGCTGGGCTTGATGCGTGGTATAAGTGTGTATATGATGTATAATGACCGATATACCGGTATGTAAGAACTTGACGATGTAACTATTAAACTACATACGTTGATTAAATTGGCAAATAAAAATTGCAATTCGTCTGAATATTTTCTTTCTTGGGAATTTAAAAATGCATTATTTTTTGCTTTAGCTCTTAAATTCACTAAGGACACTGTAAATAATCATGCTAAACGTTTAAGGTAATAGGTTGAAGGTAATAAACCTACAAAATTTGTAAATAATCATGTATTACACTGACAACGAATTTTTTCTACCTGGTAAAATATTATTACCAAATTTATCACCTACAAATCATTACCTGCATGACTTTATCGGATTATTAAGAGTGGGTGGTCGGCCATTAATTATCTACCAGACAGGTTTAAAAAGAATCAAATCATTAATAAAAGTTTAAAACTTTACGAATTAGTTATTTTTTAAAATTCTAAAAACGGACAACAAATTCTGAAATTCGAATTTTGCGACAATTTAGATTTTTAAGAAATCATCCTGGACCGACATATTTTCTAATTTTGAATTCGAGCTCAAATTACTATTTCAGATGTGAAATAAATAGTAATTTTACATTTATGTATGGTTAAATCAAACTAAGTTTATTACGTCTGCCTTGTTGGTCCAGTCTCTTTTTTGCTAGTAATTATTTATACATACTCTTATTAATTGAATTCTAGGTACATATAACTTGACAACATGTATGTAAATGGCGTTAATGAGTGGCAAGTTTCATTGCTTATGTATGTATTTTTACATACCCGACTATTTATGTACATACTTGTGTAGCCTGTTTGTTGCATTTTTCTGCGAGAATGATATATCTGTAAGGGGCGTACATAAAGCTTGTGATATATTTTCGGGAAATTATGACCCCTACCTATCGGTGTGGCCAATACATACGTCCCATGTTATAATGAAAACGGGAAGCATAGGATGCCTTGACCCTTGAAGTCCTTGAATTTAATTGTATACCTTTTTTCAAGGGATTGAGTCACGAATTATATCAAAAAATCAAGCCATAAATGAAGAATCACGTGACGCTTATTTGTAGAAAAATATTGACGCCAAAGTTCAATTTTTTCACAATGTTTCCTCCACGAGGCGGAACATAAGGCGGGGCTTGAAATTTTACATACAGTATTTTTCATCACAGGGGCCATTAAAAGGAAATAAATATGTATGAGTGTCGTGTGACTCCTAATTTTTGGCTTGATTTTTCGACATGACTGTTAGAAAATCCCGGTGTAGCTTTAAAAAAGGTTCCAGTGTAAGTGTTTAATACACAAAAAGATACATTACAAAAATAAAGTATGTACAGTGGGAAGGATTATTTGGGTATAGAGGAAGTCCAAAAATAATAGGGGTGGGAGGGTCAAAGTTTTTCGTAAAAGGCCGATTTGGGCCACTCTATGTAAAATATGGGGTATGTACCTCATGACAGGGGGAGGGTCTCTAAAAAGCTTACTTTTTGCGCCACATAATTTTTGGACGTTCCCATACATACACATTATGTAGAGTTCCATGTACTGATTACCTTGCTGGGTGGAGAGGTCTTGTACATTTTATTTTGCAAGTTCGGCAAGCCGTGCTAAATGCTTTGTAAAGGCGAAAGGAGGGAAAAGATTGGCAGTAATAAAAACCAGAATTTGCATGTGCATTTTTCTACAAGTCAAGTAATCCAACCTACATTCAATTATATCCCATGTGAACCATGGCAATTTTTATGAATCGACATCTCACTCAGCCGTCCCGTGTGGCTGGTCAAGTATCCACTCGTATTAGAAGAGGAATGCATATTTTTTAACTAGAATGACATATTTATTGTACTACTTTTTTATGATCTGTACCTAAAATTTTGGGGTATGAAGCACCTCCGATATGTGGGAATAATATGTATGTACATATGTATGTATGTAAATACGACCTTGATTGTCTAGCTTGGTACCTGGTTGTGTCGCAAGTTGTTAACACGTCGTGTCCAATTCTCCACTTTTGGCATACGTTTTACATAAAATTTGATAAGGAAATCATGCCGCAAACTAGTGTGAAATTTTTGGTGCTAGTGGTACTATATGGGGCCTCGTGTTTAACACATGGTGTTCCTGAGACGTGGGGAAATTGTTCGAAACATTTTAAACCCGTCCACGCGACAGGAATGGATGTGATTAGTAAGGAAATACTTATTTATGTTGGGGCTAAATGTGTCCAAATATTTATGTCGTTACACTCAAAATTACCTGGTGTCAATCCAGTGCGGTGTTGTCACATATAGACACCACGCGGTGTTAATGCGGGCAACTAACACTGCGCGATGTCTAGATGTGACTTCACCGCACTGGATTAAATACCGACATAAATGTAAACCCCCTTGCCTAGACTGCAATATTAATGTCCCCGTATGTCCCCACGGATTTCGTGGCCACTGTCAGGCAAGGGGATCAAACTTAAATTTTAACGGACATTGAATCTACAGACTAAACCCAGTGAAATTTTGTATTCTCGATCCGCAATTGGGGTTAATTAACACTGAAGCTACATTGGTACATATATGCGTTTTCTGTGGTTTCGATACTTAATTTCGGTTGACAATTTTTACTCAGCAATTCCCGCCTTGAGCCTTTACATCCCGGGTAATTGGGGCACCCGGCGTGGTCGCTATGTGCCCATCCAGGTGGGGGGATATCCAGGTGTACCGTTCGTCTGCTTCTACTGCAACATACTTTTTGGAATGTGAGGTTACTATCCGGATCACGGGATTCAATATGCCCCCGGGGTAATACGTAATCGCATAATTTATCTGATTGATATTCACTCTAGATTCTTTAGCACTGCGTGAAATCCGGGGAAAGCTGTTTCGGACCAAACCAATGCTGTGAAGGGTCCGTGTGTACCTCGAATCATAAGACGCCCGGTTACCAATGTTTTAAAAAAGTTTGTTACCAATTTTTGTAATGAAGGTTGATTGGATCTTGATGATGTTTTGTGTCCTTCCCTAGAATTGCGACTTCGATCATCACTGCGAAGGTGGAAAGTCATGTGTAAACGGGCATTGCGAAGAAGTACGGGGGACTAGAGTTCATTAGTTAACTATTTTTAGGGGTGAAGCGAAATGAAAACCCTTTATGGAACCCCTTGTATGTCTATGTATCTGTCGATCTGTCTGTCTGTCAGTCTCTCTGTCGGCCTGTCTGTCTTTCTATCCGTTTTTCTGTATGTAACTTTGTAATATGTAATTTTAGTTTTAGACAACGTATTACAAATTTGTTAAGTTGGAAACTGGGAGTTATAGTTCATAAGATCACTGCGCCATGAAGTTAACAGCAATCGTCCAACGTGTCGAATTTATTGTTCCGACGATTTTAGACGAGGTTTGGGGCGAGGATTTCAAAAATTAAGATGGTTTTGACCTACGATGACCGAGTGACCGTGTCGCTTCACCCATTTGCTAAACTTCCTTTGCAATTCTTTATTTATGACGTAAACTGAATTTAATCTACTATCGTACCTGCTTGATGAATCGATGCACTGAAAACGTAAGTTTTGTACTCACTTAATAATTTTACGACGATTCAAACTTTTATGCACATACACTCTTAAGAATAATGTTACCCTTTTGAGAAGTGAAGGTTTCATTGTGACTTAACTACATACATTACCGGTAACAACAAAGGAACTCTAACCTTGACTTATAAATCATGAAAAATTAAAACTCTTAAAAAATATTACCCTGTGGAAAAGCAAATGAACTCTGAATACGAAATTATGAAAACTATACTAAATTCATAGTAAAGTTAACTTGATGAGTCAAGTTTTCTATAGATTTAGTACAGTTTACTTAATATATAATTCAGCGTGAAATTTGGAAGGAATTTTTTTTACTAAAATGTATCTGTTACAGAGTTGCGTTCAAGACTCAGAACGGTGCCGTCAATCAAGCTAGTGTTGCTCAAAGGAATTGGTTTGTCGTTATGGACAGTGTCAGGTTGGTGAAATTTACTCAATGTAGACAAATAAGCGTTTCCGAGGGTATAGAATTCCATAATTTTGCTAAGATGAATTTTCCTCTGGTAGTATTGCATAGGCCGTTTTATTATGTAAACTTGGGGTACATAATACTAATAAGTTTTCATGTGTCATGAAAATGTGTATCTGAATATCGGGGTTCTATTTTTCCCCCGGGACAATACATAATCTTATAGCTTGTGGGGGGGGGGTACGGATGGGCTTTCACTCACTGTTATTTGTAGAATTGCGCTAAATCCGGGGATAGCTGTGCTGGACCAGAAGATTGCTGTGAAGGGGCTGTGTGTAGGGATGTGCCGTCATGACATGTCATTGACAAATTGACATATTGACATGTCATATATGTCCAATTTGTCAGACATTTAAAATTTGTAACAAATATGACAAATATGACACATATGACAAATTCAAAATGTCGTAAATGTCCAATTTGTCCGACATTTAAATCTTGGACAAATTGGACATTTATGACAAATTGAATTTATCAAATGAACATTTGTCAGCGCAATCGACATTTATTTTCAGCAAAATATAATAATTTCATTTTGTTGCTCGACTCCAGCAATGTGAGATTCTTATACTGGCCTGGAGCATTTAATTTGACTTTGTTTACACAAAATTCCCAAATCAAAATTGAAATGCTGAGGAGAAGAGACCCTCTAAAATCTCGATGCCATCTGCATATGTGGTAGCCCAAGGCAAATGTATGATAACCCGAAAGTGGATTGATGCCACTGCCACGCCCACATTTTCTCCCGCCACACCCCGTCAAAAAGTGGTGAAAACTACAGGAGTTACCAACTACAAATATCCAACAAAAATCCAATTTTGCTCGGATGTTGAAAAAATTTACATTTTTGTGATCCCAGATACTTGTGTGATCATATCCAGTGTATGTCAACTTTTTCAAAATTTTGAATTTTTTCAAATAATTCCGTGGAATGCCCCAAAATTTCGATAATTTCAAAAAAGTTGAGATATCTCCTGCATTTGATCACACAGGTATCTAAAATAAAAAAATATACGTTTTTTTAACATCCCAGCAAAATTGGATTCTTGGTGGGTATTTTAAGCTAGCGACTTCTGTAGCTTTTATCACTTTGAGGGAGTGTGGCGGACGCAAATAATGTGACCATCCTAGATTAGGAGCATCAAATATACAAAGGGCATCAAGATCTAAGAGGGGCATGTAGAAAGTCTCTCCTATTGAGTCCACATAAGGAACTTTTAGATTCAAACATTTGGCTGCTGATGTAAACAGTTACTTATATCCAGCATGATAAAATGGTAATTGGTAAAGTTGGTAACAATTGATAAGTAGTATCATAGGCAAATTAATTAAATCAATTGTTTAGAGGGTGTTCCGAAAGTAATGCAACTTTGGTAAAATGCATATATCCAAGGGTATCAATTTGCCCCAAATTCGAAATAGGGTGAATATTGTAGTCCATACGTTTATCTAGTAGAATCCGAAAACCAGAAGTCGATATCTCTATCCGTTCCAAAATAAGGTCAAATACCACCGAGCAACTCGCAACCATCGTCTGCCACTATAACGAAAAATTGGTTACGCGCTCCAAGAAATTGAGCTGTGTTCACTTTAAAAAAGAAAAAATTTCAAAAGTGACAATTTGCTGTGTACTACTAAGGTATGAGCTGCAAAAAACTACTAATCGCAAAAAAATATCTGGTCGGCCCATTCGTGTGGCAGCCCCGAAAGTAATAAACTTCGTGAAAACAGAAATTTGCAATGTCGGAGCGAAATTCGCTGAAGTACTTGAAGTTGTCACCGAACACCATACATTATTTTAAAGCTTAGAAGTTGGACATCAAATCCTAGAAGGTTATATAAGCTTATAAATATAGTGAAGAGTAAAATAAAAGTAGCAAGCAGGAGGCCAGAAAAAATCCTTGACCTGAAGTAATCAAAATTAATCAAAATTGATCGTCCTGTACAAGACGATTTACTGCTCAGATTATCAGAATGCTTTTATTTGCACATAGTACAACTCTCCCACCTTCAAGAAAACCATTTATGCAAAACTGGGAAATAAATCTAAGCCAAAGTATCCCGTTCCGCCTTAAAACGGATCAAATGCAATTAACATGGGAGGGGTGAACAACGTTCCCAAATTTGTCAAATACAAGACCTATTGAACAATTTTAGTTTTTATCCAAGAAAGAATATTGTAATCGAAAAACTTCAGTCAAAAATTTGAACTTATTTCACCACATGTTGTCAAAAATCCCAAAAAAGGTAACCAGAAACAGTGGCGAAGCACGAATGGGAAGCACCCGACAAAAGCTTCCCCAAATTGGGCGGAAGGAGATGTATGGACCATTCGAAACAAAAAGTAATTAGCTTTAACCTTTGTATATTTCTGACCAAAATTTCGCCTAAACTAATGCATTGCTTCAGTTTATATGTGCATTTGACCAAAGTTGCATTAGTTCCGGAACACCCTCTAAGTGCGCTTGGCTCGTTTACTTTTGCTGTTGTACCTTTATTTGAAGATTAGACAACTCCTGCCTTAAAACCCGCAATATCTTACTCTACAAGCTCTATGGTAGGATTTTAAAATGTTTCCTAGCTTAATTAATCTAATTAAATCAATTTATATACGAACGTTTAGTTTCTTGACAATGAGGCATTCCAAAAGACTCAATTACAAATTCTATCATAAATGGGGAATATTGAGACAAAGTGTCATATTTGTCCAATTTGTCCAATTTGTCCGTCATATTTGTCATAAATGTCGGACATATTGAAATCGTGACAAATTGGACGGACAAATTGACAAATATGACATTTATGACAAATATGACAAATATGACATATATTCGCTTGACACGGACAAGCTCCATCCTTAGCTGTGTGTCGCTCAGACTACGGGCACCCAATCTACAAATGTTTTGCTAAGGTACGTTTAATACTAATTTTTTATGAAAGGGTTAGGCTTAACTGTTTGTCCTACTACAGAATTGCAATTCCGATGGGGAATGCGGAGGTAAGAGGTTATGTGTGAACGGGTATTGTGAAGATGTATGGTTGTAATTATACTTATTAAATTATATTTAATTAAGGAGTTAATGGTTTGTATTTTTGTATGCACAGCGATGCATCGCGGCTCGTCCCTGGGATACATATTGTGGTTGGCCGGGGGACGCGAGACCATGTTGTGAGGGCCTTCCGTGCTTGGCGAATAAGTGTTCTGCAACTGTAAGTTTTGCATGAGTGGGATAAAGTATTTTGTACAATGAAGCCTTACTTTATAATTAACGGTTCTATGGTTTAAAGCAGATAAGCAATTTGGAAGTGATATTTTTGTTGAAATGTGTTTTTTTTGTGCCAGCATTGTGTTCAAAATTTACAACCTTGCAACAATGCAAATGAATGTTGCTGGCAGCAATCTTTCTGTCGCGGAGGAATCTGTCAGGTTGGTGAAAGTTATTCAATTGAAACCAGTATGTTCAAATATGTTTGCATGGCGGCAAAATTTCATTGGTTATCACTTTCCAATGAATCATATGAGAAAACAGATTTCCATTTTATCCCCCACCCGAAAAAAATGCTGCCAGTCCATTTTCGTTTTTCCACACAAAATTTAAAAGTTCATTGACTACCATCCAGTCTTATTCACAAAATGTAGGCTTCAACGCAGGTATGAATTGAAAGTTACTTTGGATATTTTGCAGGGCTGCTTGCAGGCAGCGGAACAGTTCCCGAACAAGCAGAACGGTTGCTTCCAAGACTCTGATTGTTGCGGAGGGGGCGAGTGTATCCGACGTAAGTACATATGTACTTTGCCCCCAGACGGCTGCCTGGGACGGGAGGAGGGTTGTTTCTTTAGTCCGAGGAGTTGCTGTGACGGACTAACCTGCGCGATACGGGAGGGCGGTGGGCTGAGTGCGTGGTATAAGTGTGGGATCCCCGAAGAGTGATGCCATCTAAATCTTGAAGGCACAATTTGTAGAATGATTTGATTAAATTGGCAAATAAAGAGATTTAAGAAGTAATAAAAAGTGTTTCATTAAAATTCCAAGTTGAAATACCTTAAAACCAAAAGTCTGTTTTAAATGAATAATGCTGGATTTATTTTATACCATCCAACGAAAATATGGTTTATTCCAACCAAAATTAATAAATTCGCCAATCATGACATGAGCAACCAATTGATTTATTTTGCAACAATTTTCATTAAAATGCTCAAAGAACTCATAGGTGGGGAAGTTTTTCGAACGAACTTTCCATGCTTCCATGAGTATAAAGTTATCTATAAATCGTTTCAGCGGCTCCTCATTTCTTTTTAATAATTTCCCAATTAAATCTGGACCCCTATCATGGCGAGGATAATCTTTCCGAAGAATTATGATGAATTCGAAATTTGAGAAGGCAATTATCCCAAACGCTCATAATTATGAGTTCGATCAACTCCTTTAACAACTAAAGGCACTAGTGATTAAGAAAACCGGAAATGAGAATAGTTCTGCAGCTACTAAACGGAAATAGACGTTCATTGAAATCCAGAGAGTGAAGGCGTTGACTTTTGGTTCAAAATTGATATTCTTGTCCACGGCAAGGCGTATCTTGGACAAATTTTTCAAACTCTTATATCGAAACAATGAAATAGTAATAATTAAGATATAAAATAGCTTAATTATAAAATTTTTTCAAAAATTTTTACGACCGGTATAAATTTAATACCTAGCGGTAGAAACTTTAATACCGAGATGTTAATACCTGCATGACCATACCGGCTTTGTAAGGGGCCGTTCATAAATTATGTAGCGCAAAAATCGATTTTTTCATACCCCTCCCCCCCCTCTGTCACACAGTGTAACGAAAGCCCACTACCCCCCTGTGTAACATAAGGCAAATCTCATTTTTCCGAAAATATAAATGAAAAAAATTAAAAAATAAAAGGTCCAATAGTGGTTGGTGCCGATATTTCTGCCGATATTTCACGAATGCATGCATGTATGAGTAACTGACAATAAAACCTTTTTCAGGCTACACCGTGATTGTCTTCAGAGTTCAGAGTGATTGTCTTCAGAGTCTTATTAAAATCCAGTCAATAATTAGGAGTCACATGATACTTATCCGTTGAAATGTCCCCTAGCCAATGGGACCTTGGAAGAAAAATATACAGCGGCAAAGTAGGCGTACGAACTTTGCGACGACGACTTCGTTTGCAGAAAAATATTTAGGGGGCCTGTAAAGTTCGCTCGTGTTTGTCCCCCATGGAGGAAAACGCGAAATAAGATTAACTAAAAAATTGAACTTTACCGCCTATATTTTTCTTCAAAGTGGCATTCAAATGGGAAGATAGATAAGTGCCATGTGGGTCATAATTTTTGGCTGGATTTCTTGATATTGGAGTAGCTTGAATTAGGTTCCATTGGTTGCACAAACTTAATGCATGTGCCTAACTGAGGCAAAGGTGCTCAAACATTAAAAAAGGACTTTATTATTTGGCTATCATGCTTTTTGTAAAGGTGGTTTCTACTACAAATTTGAATATCAAACGAAGTGGCCATATGAAAATTTATACGGGTCCGAAAATATTTGTTAATGGCCAAAAGTAGCTTCAGGAATATTATCCATTTAAATGGGAAAAAAATCCTTTTTAGATGGTCCCAAAATATAGTCCCATATTAGTTTTGAAGATTTATTTGCAAAATTTCACAAATTATGGTGCAAACGGGTTTGCCCAGAAAGGAAAAGTTTCCGCTTTTCGAGCATCTTTAGGAAATTTTCAAATAATTTTCGGAAATTTGGACATTTTAGGGAATTTTCGAGAATTTTCCAACAATTTTGAATTGAAGTTGAGTGACGTAACGCAGGACCTTGGTCTCCTACCCCTTAGCCGTGAAAATTATATCATGTCGAAATTTTCCAAAACTGGCGAAATTCAACATGACGTAGAGCAGTAAAAATCGATATCTACGTTCAGCCAGGCCCAACAAGTGTGTCGCGGCTGAAATTTACCCATGTCGTAATGGAACGATGTCGACATGTCGAAATTTCGACATGTGCCTAAAGAGCTGAAATTCGGAACCAATATTCCTCAATGCATCTAAATGTGTTTTCGAACACTTTTGACCAAGTCGATAACAAATTTTGATAACCATAGACCTAGGAATCTGGAAATTTGAAATTAGACATGGGTAAATTTCAGCCGCGACACACTTCTTGGGCCTGCCTGAACGTAGATATCGATTTTTACTGCTCTACGTTATGTTGAATTTCGCCAGTTTTAGAAAATTTCGACATGATTTTTCCCAATGTTCCCAATGCTTATATCTTGATAATGCGCAGATATAAAACCTCCGTTCTTTTTCTTAGTGAGGCAAGTACCTGGCAACAAAAAAATTACTAAGTATGCATTTGACCCTCCCCAAAAAAGTGACCACCGACGATATCTCAGTCATTTCTCAACCAATTTGGATGAAATTTGGCACCGATCATTGTTAGATAATTTCAAAACGATGTGCGAGTCGCCTTTTGGAATTTTTATTTTTTGAGATAGTTATTGGCAAAAGTACGCGAAAATCTGCCCCTTACTGAACATTTATTTTCATAGTTCATTAATGGGTCATCCAGACATGTTCACTTATTGAAAATATTGTAGACAAAGTCATTCCGGTTATTTTAAGTCCAAGATTATCCAAATACGTTAGGAACTCAGAAAGTTATTCAAATTTGAAATCTTAAAAAATTACAATTTTTTAGTGACCTTTATACCTGGCAACAAAAATTACATATTGTGTGCATTGACCCCACCCCAAAAACTGACAGAAATAATTCAATATCTAAGTCATTTCTCAACCGATTTTGATGACATTTTTCACCGATTATTCCTATGAAATTTAGAAATGACATTCAAACTGATTTGGTGAATTTATGATCCGAATATGCGAAGCAAATTTAAAAAATGAAAAATTTGCCAGCCTTGGGTGTGCGCTTTCTCCTCTTCTTATGCAAATATCCCCGCTACATATTTGCAAGTTTCATACTAATTATTAGGGTTGCCGCGGGTAACGGGTCGGGTACCCGTTACCCGCATACCTGCACGATTCTTGCGGGTACCCGTTATCGGCGGGTAGCGAGAACTACCCGCACGGGTAACGAGTAGTTCACTGTTTATTTAATTTTCGACATAAATCCGTTCACAAAGAAAGCTAGCAGCAAGTTAGTCCATTTACCAACAAAAACGTCAATTTCCTATTTATTCATTTCATAATTTGTCATTTGCCAGCAGCAAGCGTTTATAGCGAGCGTGTCTTTTTGGAAGCCACAGACAAGCCCACGGCAGCTTAAAGTGAATTTCACGTCTCAAAAATGCGGACAAATTACTGTTTCTTAAACATAATTGAGGTTCTCGTTTAGTTATTGAAGCGAGCAGACGTGTTTATTCTGAGCTCTCATTAAATTGAGTTTTTCACTACATAAAAGTACAAGCCATACTTACAAAGTTATATCATTATAAAGCTAAATTCAACGCGATTACCCCCACATAAGAATTTCTGCTGTAAATTCATAACACTTCGAAAAATGGGGAAAAATCAGAAATATTCACTTGTGCATAAGATCCCAACGAATAATATAAGTAAAAACGCCCACAAAATTCAGTTACTTGACAATGTGCAACTTGATCTACAAGAATTTGCACAATCAGCGAAAGAGAAACTCGAGTTCTTATCAAGTAGTTTTGTTAATCACGCAGAAGAATTGGGCCACATAGAGAAGCAAATGTTCAACTTTAAGAGTGAACTGGACAGATTCATAAATAAGTTTATCGGATTGGGGCAGCAAGTGAAGAAGAATGCAGAAACGATTCTTCGTTATGAAACCAAACCAAATGCAAATTGTGATCGACAATGCAACATCATAATTCATGGATGTGAATATTATTCTGCCAAAACTGCAATGGAGGAGACGACAGATTTTCTTTCCAATTGTTTGGAAGTGGATATCACTGTTGAAGATGTCCGTCCGTTGTCCAACGGTAAATCGGTGCTGGTGAAATTGGCATCAACAAAGCAAAAATATATGGTGTTTAGAAACTGCCACAAGTTAAAAGCTATCCCTGCCAAAATCTCAATTGTGGAGGACCTAAGTAAAGAGGAACGTGCAAAGAAGAGACGACAAATACCAGAATTCCTTGAGCAAAAGAAAATTGGAAACAAAGTCTACTTCCGAGGCGCCGACTTGTTCATGAATGGGACTCAAATCACCGAAGAAATTAGAATTTCACCCTATCATAGCCATTCAGTCACAGCCCAAACTAAACCTACGGAGAAGACAGAGAAATTGGACCACGCCAAGTATGGACAGCCCCCTGTAGAAAAAGACGTTCAACCCGAAAAAGACGATCAACGCGATACACATTACTTAGAAGGACCACATCTCAAAGACGTTAAACGAAGCCCAAAATTATCCCAACCAATTTCGGATGACGGCGTAGCCTACATACTTTCAATTATGGATGCCAACATGAAGTCACTGACGAGGGAAATGGATGCTTGCCTAGTGAAAATGGATAATTTCAGAATTGGAGTTTTATGATTTTCTTATAAGGACTTGAAAAATGAAGATTTGCTATGTGTAGTATTTAATGATTTGATTTTTGCAGTTATTGTCATACGAATTAGCATAATCGGTTGATAATGTGAATAAGATTGCAATTTAATTTGGAATTATGAATTTAATTTTGAGGATCTGCAGTTAACTGACTTGAAAATAGTGTCGTTCATTGAGCAGTGAATACTGACTGTTTACTTTTTACATTTACAAATTATGCTGTAGTATTTAATGGTTTGATTTTAGTAATCCACCACTTTGAGTTATTTAATTTGATCAATTGAATTCGTTCGCATTGACCTAATTAGTTGAGATGGAATTCTGAATAATAATGCTCTTATTATATGTTTATAAATTTGATGCTTAATTATGTCTGATGGTTATCTATTTGATTTTAGTGCTTGAATCCTGCAAACAATGACTTTAATTTTTAATTGCGTTTTTCGTATCCTATCACTGTGTTTTAACCAAGTTGTCTTATTCTTGTTATATTGCAAATGTCTAAGAATCTGTATTTTAACATACACAAACCTTGTTTAGTAGAATGTTATTAAGCGAGAACCCCCAGGATAATTTTGCAAAGAAATAATTGTCGTTGTAGTATTATTGATTTGTTATTTAATTCCTTACGATGTAATTTAACCTGTAATTCTATGGGCCATGAGCCTTGTAAGAATTGTCATGAATAAATTATTATTATATTATTATTATTATATTAAACGTAATTTGCCTGCTCTAAAATATCGGTAATTGTGTGTATTTGTGTAATACTGACTAAATTTCCATTTTTGCTTTGAAGGTGAAAAACCTGAATCCGATTGAAAGCAAACATTTTATTTGTAGACAATTTTTTTAAATGAAAACTGTATTTAAAGAAATCAAAACTTTAAAAGATCGAACTAAAACTTGAACCTTTATTCAAGCAACACCAAGATTCTTGAAGATTGACTAGCGAGTATGTAGATTAAAACGTCAGACAAAAAATTAGGAATCGGGCGATACTTTCCATTAAATGCCCACTTTGAAGAAAAATATTGACGGCAAAGTTCAATTCTGAAGTAAATTTCTGCATCTTTTTCCTCCACTTGACGAAAACCATAGTGAACTTTGAACTCTGCCCCCAATAGTTTCCTTTAGACGGGCTACTCAACATAAGGATAAGTGATAATTCTTAATTTTTTGTTTGATTCTTTTTATATAATTCGCTAAGAAATCCCTGTAAAGCTTGAAAAAGGTTTCATTGTAAGCCATAAAGTTTGGTTTCAGAAACATCTCTAATTACATCCAGCAAATTACGACATTCGTTACTTGCACGGCATTATCTCAAACTGCTGAACAACCCAATTGAGCAAATAATTGACGAAATTAAATTTATTCTGATGGTTTGTTAGTTTTTAACTTAATTCTCACAACGGGTAGCGGGTAACGGGTACCCGTGCGGGTACGGGTAGTTATGCTGCGGGTAGCGGGTCGGGTAACGGGTAGGCATTTTCGCTACCTGCGGCAACCCTACAGTAATTATATTTGTGATCGATTTATACTAATTTGGTCCAAATCCTTAAGAATACGTTGGGAGACCCCATTGTAAGTAATTTTTAATATTCTGCAGATAAATAAGCGGACCAATATTTTTGCGTTTCCTTGAATGAGCTATCGTTGGCGATATTTTAAATTAAATTGGGCCTTCATTAAGAAACTTTTCAGCTAAAATCAGGATTTCTTAAGAAACCATTACTTCTCGAATTTTAGCCTGACTTAAGAAATTAAACTATACGTCTGTTCGGAATTAAATTAAGTACATAGTTCTTAAAAATGTAAGCTTTTAAAAATTTTAAATTAACATTTTTTTGCGTTTAAGCAGTTCAAAAAATTGAGAAATAGCACAAAATTTTAATAAAAGTTTTAGGGAAGAGATCAAAATTAACTTAAGAATTTAGAAACAGGCGAAAACATATTATGTAATTCAAGAAAGCACTTTAATTTGGATTCACCAATTTAAAATTAATACCGTCCAAATCGTATCCCCACATTGCAAGCCACAAACTTTGTTTTAAAATCCAATTAAGTAAGTCAAGCTAATTATGCCATGCACTACTTTCATATAAGTAGATATCTCGAAGTATATCGACGAAAAATAACAAATAATTAGTTGAACCGATTTCAATTTGGTCGTTGGTTGATTTTGTTGGACTTCGTGTAGCAGATTTTGTTTTCGCTACCGCCTACAATCCTACTTCCTAAGCCTAAAAAAAGTACACTATACTTTGAAAAAGAACCTCTCGTATTCTAGACTTGCATTAGAATTTAAAAATTAAATTTGTGGGAAAGATCTTAAGAAATCTAGAATTTCCTATGTCGCGGGCCCGGCCCTGGTGCGCGTCACCACCTACCACCTGCACGCGGAGGCCCTGGTTCGCATAACGTCTCTGTATTCCCAACCTCTCAGCCTTAGAAAATCTACCGGTGTACTTATAGGATCTTTTGTTAATTGTTTAAATTGGAAAATCATTGCTCAAATTGTGTAAGCTGAAATAAATATTGTTTCAAAATTTGAAATTTAAAATCCAAATTACAACCAAAGCAAAATTTAGCCGGGTCTCTATTTATAGCCGGTCTCCAATTATAGCCGGGTCTGTGACACTCAATTTTGGATTTTAGCCCCGGCTATAAATAGAGTATTTACCAGGGATGGGCAATCCTAGGATTACTTTAATCAGATTAAGTAATCAGATTACATTGAATGTAATCCGTAATCCAGTAATCCACGAAAAATTCGCATTTTAAAGTAATCCGTAATCCGTAATCCTAACTAGGTCTGGAAATTATGTGTAATCCGTAATCCCCAATTTACGAGATTGGATAATGTAATCAGACTACGGATTACTTTGTTGGATTACTTTACTCCTGTAAACGGCATGACAGCTCCATCTTGCAACTTCTCCAGAGTCTGAGTCACTTGCTGAACTTGAGTGCTTAAACTACCTTCTAGATTCTTCAGCAGAGGTGCAAAGTTTAGAGAATTTTGGAAGAATTAAGACGGGTCTATTTACTACAAAACATTTTTGTCTGCCCTAATAAACCGACTGTCGAATGAATCATTCAAAGCTCGTGTTTTTTGAACTAATCGTCATCATGAAATATAAGTATGATGCTATTCAGAATAAACCGTTACAAACGAAAGGCAAGAGTTTGTATCACAGGCGTGGAGTGAGACGGTCATGCGGTCATGGCATGCCAAAACTAGGTCTAGATTTTATTTTTGAAATCCCCGCCGAAAACTATGTCTAAAAGTATCAAGACAAAAATTCGACATTTTGGACTTTGGCGTAGTCGACACGGTCACTCACGTCAAAACTATGAAGATTTTTGTAATCCTCGACCGAAACAACGTCTAAAACGGCCAAAACAAAAAATTCGACGTTTGACCCGTGGCGTCGTCATCATGACCTTATGACCTACAATTCCCATTTTGGAACTTATCCGTACCTCAAAAATTAGAAACCCGTTGGCGAAAACCGCAAACAGCATGTTAAAGTTATCGTGGATACAGACCGGCGGACAACACTTTTTCATAAAGGGATTTCGCTTCTCTTCACCCCTTAATACATAAATATAGATTTTTGTAATCCAGATAATAATCCGTAATCTGATTACTGTAATTCGTAATTCGTAATCCACGTCATTAATTTATCCCAGTAATCCAACAAGTAATCCACATTATTTCAGGAACGAAGTGATCCCAATCCAGTAATCCCATGATAATTTTTAAATTAATTAATCTGTAATCCGTAATCCCTCTAAATTGTTGGGATTGCCCATCCCTGGTATTTACGATACATGCTTTCTGCACAGTCCCTTAGCTATCACTCCCTCAACATCCTTATACATATGTACATATACGAATTCGTATAATATACGAATACATATATGAACACATTATATACATAATATACATATTATCTATGTGTTAAGCTGCAAAAAAGCTTACACGAAATATGAGTATGTACATACATATGTATGAATTTATGATACATTGATTTATCCCTAACGTAACCTTGGCATCATTATTTATTTACATACGTACGTATAACTATGAAGTATAATTCCACAATATGAACACATGAGTCGTGTCTCCCCTCCATGTAAATCAATCCATTTGGCCCACAAATGCACAACTTTCACCCACACTAAAATCCCACATATTTCCCAACCCTCATTTGGATGGTCCATATATTACGTCATCAAAAAGACGCGTGGGTGGTTTGGGGTTCGTGTTAATCTTACCCTAGTTACGATAGGGAAAGTGTGGCTGGGTAGTGTATGCACAAACGGGTATTTTTTTGATGACATAGTATGAGGACGTTCCCAGAATTATATTTATTCCCGACCCTCACCCTACCTGAACTCGAATTCTCCTCGGTTCCTCAGTCCACACACATCTGTCAATATCCAAGTTTTGCTTACTTTTGCTGTTTATGTCCAGAAAAACATACCTTTTTAACACAAGTTTAGAGAAAATTATCGTCACAATACCATATTTCCAATATTATATTTCCAGTCATGATTTTTGTAATCATGGAAGAATTCTTGTCCTCATTAGTGGACTTTTTGTCCGTTATATCCGTTTTGTGTAAAACTCTCCCCTATCTATCGATCCTATTATTGGTAATGGTAGGTATCATAAATTTCCAGAATCCTGGCAAAATTGATAAGCGTGCAAAAAATTCGGCTAACTCTAACAAACCGAAAATAAACCCCGAAGATTCAACATTTTTTAAAACGTTGCGCCAAACCCGACCCGATTTACTCGATAAGATCGACTTTCTCCAGGAGCATGTCGTCTTGCCTTATCTGAACCGGAATGTGTACTGGAATGCGGGCCAGTTCGAGGAGAAAGTGTCGCGAGGTTTAATCATTCATGGGGACGATGCCGTGACCGCGAAACAATTAGCGCAGGCTTTAGCGATCGAACTATTTGACATGCATGATGTCCCTGTACTCGATAAAGTGTTGTATAAATTGTTTCGTGGAAAGTTTGACAACATTTATCACGTGGGCAATTCGACTAACCCATTGATTCGAAGGGAGAGTTTGGATGAGGACATGATAAGTCTATTCAAGGCGGCAAGCGATAATCCATCCGCATTGATATTCGTGACAGGTGTCGACACCCTGCTGGGGGAGGAGGAGGATGGAAAAAGTGATAAGTGTGAGCACTCTTAAAAATATGGTACCGATTTGAACGGTTGCAACGGTTTTAAGGTGGTATGCTATGCGGGTTTTGAGTAATTGTTGTGTCTCAAATTTCCCTTCTTCCATATATTCAAGTAGCGATTTTGAAAAATGTTCGTCTCCTTGAGTTTTTTACAATATGAAGATTTTAATGCACTTAAAAATCGATAATTGTTAGGTTTATAAAGTTAGAATGGTAGGATTTTCATTTTTTTCTTCCATGAGAAACTATTTCAGTTTTACTAATTATTTTTCGTCTGTTCTATATTTCTTTTCTCATAGATGGAAAAAAAATCAAAATCATACATATACTGTTAGAAATCCGGTATAGTCACGCAGTTATTGATTTCTTCGTATTAAATTTGCTATCGTTTGGTATACCGGTCCGTAAAAATTTAATACGAATATTGTAAAAATTTGGTATCGGGTTATTACTACACAGCATTAATACGCATTAATACGCTTTATTAACGTTAATACCGCATGGTATTATTTTAATACTGGATTTCTGTGTAAAAGTGAACCATCTTAACTTTGTAAACCTAAAAATTATCGATTTTTAAGTGCGCATTAAAATCTTCATATTGCAAAATATTCATGGAGATGGACAGGTTTCAAAATCGCTACTTGAATATATGGAAGAAGGGAAAGTTGAGACACAAAAATTCAAATTGAAAACCCGTATACATTGCCAGCTTAATAAGCCAAGGGAAATGACCAATGATTGCTTTCCCTTCTTTCTATAATAAAATGTTACCTTTTTTACCATTTTCAGCCCCATTGCACATCCTGACAGAAGCTTTTTCCAAAAAATTGGACCAACTTTACCTCGAAGAAGAGATCTTTGTCGTTATTCATGTAAACAAACTGGAAGACATCGATATTTCCCGGGGTTTATCACCTTTCCGGAAATTTCTTCACCTCCCACTAATTAAAACTGCAAAGGCACGACGGGACGAGTTAGCCTCGGAAACAGAACACTGGGCGAATAAACCGAGCACGGAAATATTGGACTTGATGGCTGAGAGATGTATGTCATTCGGCGAGGAGGAAATTGATATCGGAATAGCAGAACTTTGCGCAGCCGCATACCGCCAAAGTTTGAACCGATTTGTGCAACAGGATGGATTTAATCCGGCAAAAACCCGGATTCGTGACGAGGACATTAATCCATCCATTTTGGATTGGGAGAAGGCATGGACCGAGGTTTGCCAAAAAATTGAAAATGTTCCCGTGAAAGGGGAGGATTCTGGAAGTAAAAATGAGCAGATTGAAGCAGAAGACTGGGCGATTTTGGAAACGCCACAAGTGGTCGCGGAAGCCCAGGTGACATCTGGGGATTAGAATAGGGGGGGGGGAATGTCTGGACACTCTTAGAAATGAGGTTATGATTATAACCAAAAAGTAAACGTATTTAACTCTACTGTCGTGTTTATAAATTTGCCATCGAGTGGTTACAATTGTCACCAACTAATTATAAAGTTTCAACGACTTGGTATTAAATTGTCACCAGAGCTAATAAATTTATAACCAGTTGGTAACAAATTCATAACCACGGGGGTAGAGTCATATACGTTTACTTTTAGGTTGTAATCGTAACCCCATTTCTAAGAAACGCGATTGTCCTAAAGTTCACACACCTCCATTAAAGTAAAGTTGTAAACAAATTAAAACTTCGAACTAAACCATCAACAGTAAAAGGAAGAGATTAATGATCTCGGATTATGTTATACGTTGTTATTTAAATAATAATAATAATTTTATATTAAGGAAATCCTTAAATACCTTGATCGTAGTGACCAAGGTATTCAAGGATATATTTAGGTATGTAACTTAAAATTTATAAGTTTTGTAAAATTTTTAATCAATGAGGCGTCGCAGATCTCACTTAATGACAAAAATTTGTAATGTAATTTCCCTTAGAAACATTTATATGTAAAGGATTTTGTATATAAAGTTACGAGCGGTTGCGTGAATTGGTTCATTATTATTAGTTGAGACTGATATATTTATAAATGCACAAAATAGAAAAAAAGTTTCCATTAATTAGATATGTAGAAGATAATTTATTAAGTATTTATTTCAAATGTCATGATTACCATGCATGCCTAATATCAAATAAATCTGTTTTTAACTAGCGGAAATCATAGATTAGTAGCCTACTTACATATGTATTTATGCAAAAGTGCGAATACTTATGTATAAAAAGTCAAGAAGGGTTAAATAAGTTTGGAATATTTTTGATGAATTGATCAACAACTACACTGCAGTGCAAAATACCTGTGACTCCCTCCACAAATAAAAATGGGGTGCATACTAAATTATTTACCCACGTAATTGGATACTGGACGACTTTAACTTACAATGGAGGTCTGCCAACGTGTGATCCAAGATTAGGACCAAACTGGTGTCAATCGATCGCAAATATAATGAGTATGAAAAATGCAAATGGCAATATCTGCCAATCCGCAAGTTTAGTGGAGATATTTGCATAAAAAGAGGAGAAAATGCACCCCAAGGCTGGCAAATTTTTCCATTTCCAAATTTGTTGCGCATTCTTTCCGCTTTCCGCCAAACCTGCGCATTGGTAGATATTGCCATTTGCATGTTCGATACTAATTATATTTGTTATCGATTGATGCTAGTTAGGTCCAAATCTGAGAGCATACGGTGGCAAACCTCCATTGTTAGTACACGATAACACTACATCCTTAAAATACTCAATCCGTTTTATAAAGGCATTCCTGTAGCGGTGTAAAATTAGTCCTCTGTTTTTTCTTCGTCCACAACTCTTTGTTTTTTACAAACCACTTTTCTATCAAGGTAGACATTATTTTTTTGCTGCCAAGATCTTCAATTCTGCAAAATAGGTGGAAACATTGCTTCAGGTAAGCAATCAAAATAATAGAAATGCATTGTTTCCTTGTAAATACGCTGAACTTGACAATTTCACTATTTCATAAAATTTCGACTCCTAAAGAAATTATTAAGCGGCTACTCACTTTTACGTAAGATTTAAGACCATACCTGTTTACTTTCATTTACGTATGTAACTGATTATTACAGAGAATTATAGTGAATGAAAATGAATTTCGTGTCATTTGATTGAAAATAAATGAATGCATCATTCATTTTAGATGAGTGAGCGTGAATGAAAGGATTTTTTACTCGTTTATTTTACACCCTATGCTTAATACATCGGGCGAAGTAAGAAATGAAGTCAGATGAAGTGAGTTTGAAAAAATGAATTATGGATGAATGAAAATCTTCAGTCAGAAATCGGGATGACTGAACTTTGAATGAAAAAAGTTGAACAGGTGCATACATAAATATGTTAAAAACTATGTAGATAAAAACATACAAAATACTCACCCCAAGATAAATTCAATATCAATATATGAACGTTTCCGATACCCGAGGCTTTTGGCATAAGAAAGTGCATCAATACGGGCATGATTTTGTGAATTTCTATCGTTCATGATTACTAAAGCGAGATCAGCGTCCTGAACATGTGCACAATTTATGAAAAAAATTGTTGGTAAATTAATAACATTCGTTGTAAAATGAATTTGAACTACCCAGCGATCCATTAGACGAGCAGTGTCATTCCTGGTTATCATACGGCGACCCGTATTTGTAAAGTTTCCGAACGTTTCGATCCCTTGAATCGTGCAGTTTTCCAGATTATGGTACTCCAAATCGATAGTACGCAATATATCGATAAGTAGTCCGGTATAACATGGCGAATGTCGGCAGGACAAGGCGCTCATTTTCTTTGAGCTGAGGCACGTTTGGTTCAAAATCATCCAGGGGTGATCCTGTAAAAATACATTTTGCCAAATTTTCGCCAAAATTGATAAACATAATTCACTTATTCAAATTTACATCCGTGGTCAAAATGCGACGAATTTGGGCGTATCCTGAAACGTTAAAGACAAATATTGGTGTGCTTGTGTGTGCACGATAAGAAATTTATGTATTGACCTTTGCAGTCGCCGGATAATTCAGCATATTGGTAATATAATCCATCCATACATTCACAAAATCCATCCCGGCATGTCGCGTTGTTCCCTTTGCATATGTCAGTCGGTCGACATTTCTCGCCGTTTGGGATCCCTTGACATTTCTTCATGTTTAAATTAATTCAAGCATTGGAGAAGAATAACTTTGATTAACGTCTTAAAGACATTTATCATTGAGAAATTATGATATCGGTAAAATATGTATGGACCACAGAAAAAATTCTGGTAGTCGTTGGTTTATTTTAAGTATATGTTGCATTATTAAGTAGTGTTTTAAATGTATCTTAAAGGGTTTATGTTAAGCGATGAAAAATGGAGAAATGGTTATTAACAACTGACAAGGCTAGTGTCTGTTAACTCATACAGGATTAGTGGACAGATCGGACTTCCGGTTTGAAAATCGAAAATAAGGTCCATGCTATTTTTTCCTGCCCAGTTTACGGATTTAATCCTGACAAAGTTTGTTTGGTCCTAGGCGCAAGATTGTTTTAATTAAGAGGTGTTTAAGTATTACATAATTACCTTCAGTGGACACTCCAGAACATAGAAAAACCACACCTGCGAAACAACTTAAGGAAAACATATTATGTGGTGCCATTATAGCAAATTTGGCTTGAATAATTGTAAATTGGAAGAACAAGGAGACAAATTATTGAAAAATTTAATCTGACACAAAGTCTCACCGTTTCATAAATATCATTCCGTTTTGCGTTTGTCCAATATCGTGCCCGTGAATTGGCTGATATGCAGATTGCTTTTAATGTAATGCGATATTTAGTTATAATAGTGAGTGTGTGTATAGTTTGAGGGGATAAACCACATCAAATGAAGCAATTTGAATAGTCACGAAAGATAATGGAGGCCATTATGTTTTTTTGTAGAATTATTGGATTATAATAAAATGACTTATTCTAAGCTAAATATATGATTGGTATACGCATATTTATAAAATATCGGTTTTCTGATCTCATGCCTAACTAAATATATGTTACAAAAAATCTATTTACCTGTTGTTATACAGGTTACGTGCATACAGGTTGCATGTACATTCAAGATCCATGAATTCGATGTGCAGTTCTAAGGACTTAAAAAATATCAAAAAGGTACTGAATTTACTAAGCTTAAGCAAACCGAACTCAACAATAAATCCAGATGAATATGAAGTAGAAAGGAAATCATGTCGTTTAGTGGAAGGTACAAAATGAGCCAAAAGTACAAGCTCTTTTCGCGTCGATTTCACCGAATTTCACATAAAAAATCCAAAATTTATTTTTGGGTAGAAACATCAATATACCATAGGTATTTTCGAATTATATGCAACCACCCCCCCCCTTCAAAAATTGTTAAAGGAAATTGTGAAAAATGAGAAAGTCAATGTACACTCGGCACTAAAAGAATAAGACCCCAACTTGCATTTACAATTTGACTTCCCCCTGGAATACGAACATTTTGATGCATCAAGAGTTTCAAAATTCGAAAATTGGCGGTTTTTATGCATACACATAAATCCTTAAAAAAGTCATGGTCCCAGCCATTTCTCGGCTGACAACCTGATGCCAGAATTTTCTCCTTATGAAGGGCTACATTTTCAGCTTTTATTGCCCGACGAGAAATGCGTGGGACCGTAAGATTTTTGGGGTCAAAGTTTCTGAGGGAGTGACTTATACGGCAAGTGCCGTAACAAACGAGGGCTAATGATATACCAACATTTAATTTTTTTGTATTTTAATAAGACAACATTTAAGTAACCCAGTATGGTTAATTAAATAAGACGCATGATTGAGTGAGTGCGACAAAGTGAGGCGGATACGGCGCTGACGCGCGATGGTTGTGGATACCCACCAGAACCCGAATCTCACTCTGCCTCACGCTAAATATGGAAAAGAGTTTTGTAGTACACTTGGTCTGGTTTTCATCGGAAATACAAAATACAATGGCAACCAACACCTTCCGTGGCCATTGAAATTGCATCATTTGATGAATTTGATTTATCCTTCTATCGTAACGAAACATCAAATTGCATTAAAAAGTATCTGCAAATCTGCCCCGGACACAGGCATGATATATGACACACGCAAACAGAATAATATTTATTAAATATTGAGATTTCGTATCAAAATAAATTGCACATTAATATCACTCCACGACTTCCATTCTACAAGTCTTGCTATTATGGCAACATCTCGCCTGTTTTCCTTAATTTTCTGTGCAGGTGTGGTCCTGCTAAGTTTTAGACAAGTGGCAACTGAAGGTATTTAATATTTAAACGGCCTAAAATCACAGCGAATTTATTAATAGAAGCAAGAAACTTTGGTAAGATGCCCGCGGTAAACTGGTGGAGCACATAAGGGAACGTCCATATATTACGTCATCACTTTAGTGGGTGGGTGGTTTAGGGCTTCCTATCCTTCCCATGTTAAAATTCCCTATCCCTTAATGTTTACGTTAGGTAGGTGGATGCTAAATTCGAGAATTTTTGATGACGTAATATATGGATGGTCCCTAATGGGTGGTAGTTTCACACGGGGTCCAACTGGCTGTCAGATTTATACAACAAGTCAACCCTGTATGTATGTATATGGATAGAGACAAATTAGTATTTTACAATGGTAACAAACACTGTTTAATCTCGTGCTATTTAAGTTAACAATTAACATATCTTGTTAAACATCAACGTTAAAGGTCCCATTACTAGTGCTTTTGCAAATGACTATAAATCACTTAAAAAACTCCCTTGGGTTCGGGGCCACAGACAAAAACCAAAACCAGGACGGGAGAAACTATTAACTAAATGCAATGTACAATAATCTATCCCTTAACCAGGGTTTCGTTTTTCCCGTCAAAAATGATTTTTTACCACCGCAGGTGGGAAAAAGTGATAAAAACCGGGAAAAACGGTTTTTACCGTCCAAAATGGGAAATATGGCTATCCATGTATTTAGTTATGGGGAAAGCTAACTTCTTTAATAATCAATATTTCCGGAATTGGACTTCATATTCGTGAATTTCTGAAAATTTTGATATGTAATACGAGCACTTTTGATCAGTTTTAATTATTTAACCAATTTTCCCATATGAATACATGTTAATTTTAGAGATTGTTCGAATTGAACCGTATTACCAACTAATTTTCTCAGAATTTGATGGAGAATACGAATATGAAGTCAAATTTTGGAAATCTTAAGTTTTAAAGAAGTTATTTCGGATTGCCCCGAAACCAGAGTTTTTCCCATTTCCCACCCATTTTGGGTGGGTGGTAAAAATGCCTTTTTCCCACTTTTTCCCGCTGCCCTGGTCAATTTGGTTTTTACCAATCGAAACCCTGCCCTTAAGAATTTGCTGAACTGAGGGCTCCTAATTATTTTCACAGATTTCTGTAATTGTGTTTTATTAACCCCTCAAAGGCCTCATACCATAAGCTTAGCCTGCCTGAACAAAGTATATTCATTTTGACGTTTTTAGTTGTACCAGCTTTCGGCTTTGGCCTCACATAAGAGAAACCCTACCTTTTATCATCGCTAATTCGAAAATGTTCATTTATTTACTAAGAAATCCAGTACGGAGGAAAATGCCTGCCGAGTAACACGTGCATTGATAAGAACTCTACATGCCGCAATGGATCATGTTCCTGTTCGGAAGGATTTTATTATTGTTGGTGGAATTGGCCACCTCAATGTGTAGGTGAGCTAACGTAATTTCTAAGTCCGGTGAAGCATTTATGTAAAGATACCGATATGTGGCCACTATTTATTTTCCAGAATATACCAAAATTCAACGAATTGTAACTATGGAGGTAACCTTCATTATGTGAGAAAAAAGATGAAATTACTGCATAATTTAACTATTTCTACAGGATCATCCCTGGGTGATTGTAAATCGGACTTGCCTCAAGTCACCGGATATTACCGCGTTATCCTGCCGACATACGACCTGTTATACTGGCCTTCTTATTGACCTCTTACATGTGATAGATACGCAATACAGCAACATGGACAATTGTACTATTCTAGGCATCGAAACGTTCGGTAAACCTACAAATGCGGGTCGCTCATTAACCAAGAATGACACTGCTGACGTAGTCGGACGTGGGGTAGTTTAAAGAAATACGACAGTTATTAACTTTGCAAGATATAATGTTCACCAGTTAGGTACTATGGTTGCAGGAAGCTGATCTCGCCCTAGTTACGCCTGGCAATGGAAACACAACCAATTATAAGAAATTCCAGCCAGATGCAGCCTTTTATGCATTAAGCCTGGGATTTCCAAAGGGTTCAGAATTTCCAGACGGGTATAATTTTCTTTTTAATTTGTAAGGGTGAGCAAAAGAGAGAGAAAAGGTTCTGGCTATAGCGGTGCTGGACCGTTCGAAATACAATTTTCAGGTAGAAGTACAATAGGAACGGTTTGAGGTTACACTCTTAGCAAAACGGTATTGAATCAATTTGAATCATCACCAAACGGGGAGCCCACATGACTTAACCAAATTGTGATAATATTTACACCACATTGTGATAAATCTTCCCCACAATGTGTAAACCTAACACTGGATAGTGAGGATTTAACACATTGTGGGGAAGATTTATCACAATGTGGTGTAAATATTATCACAATTTGGTTAAGTCATGTGGGCTCCCCGTTTGGTGATGATTCAAATTGATTCAATACCGTTTTGCTAAGAGTGTACGGTCTGGTGTCTAGTTGGATATAACCAATATTTTGCCTAGACCAGAGTCGCTACTATAGCTGCAGTACTTGAGTTAAGTTTGGCGAGCCACCTTGAAAGACGACTACTGATGAATTTACAGCAATGCCTTTAGTTATGGATCAGTAGAGTGAAGAGTAGAAAAATTTTTGAGCCCGTGTTGGGCTATTAATGATGTATAGATAGCAGAAGGCTTCCCCATATTATTAGTTATGACCACAACTTCTGCATTCACCGATGATTTTGAGGTAAGATGAGATTTGGAAAATCGTTGGACGGATAGTGCATACTACATAGTAAGCAACAAAAGGTTTCGCACCCCCTAGCGCTATCCCCAGTGGTAGTTTCCTGTCACTGTCATGTTAGTAACTAGGTGAAAGGAAATGCATACATGTGCATTGGAGTTGCCTCTTCGCAAGTCAAAGTCGTAGTCCCCAGGAAAGAGCTTTGGGGCTTCCTTTATAGGGTAGGCGCGGGTATATATCTCACCCGCGGTAAGTGTGGTTGGTCTCTCTACACTCTCTACACGGCCAACCAATTGAAAACAGTCGCTAGTTCAGGTCAGACTAGTTGACTAATTTAATTAAGGCGGTTAACTATACAATTCGTGGAACGCTAATCTACAAATTTTTTGTTGTTTCAGAATTCTTGATTCTAGACGCGAAAAAATTATGTCAACCCTGCTGGAAAAATGGTTTATAAATAATACTAAGTTGTGGACGAAAGAAAAACAGATCACCAATCTTACACCAAAATATGAGTGTCTGTATATATAAGATTTATTTTAAATCTGTGAAGTCGCATCTGATGAAGAAACATGCGTTTTAAATTCGATCTTACCGCTCTTGATGGTCCCATGAATTTCAATTAATGCAAATAATAAATTGATTTTCGGTTTTATTTTGTTTCTTTTTTACCAACCTATCAAGAACTAGATTCAAGCCCGCCGTATGACGGGACGATCGCATCACTTGTAGGGGTGGTTTTAAAATTCTAAAATTCAATCATCGTAGCGTTGTGGCCCACACGGAACGAAAGAAGATATGCAGTCAATGTAAGAAGTATAAGTAACGCCTACGCAAGCTACATAAAATTAGCTATAACTTTGCATGCATCATCAAATTACCATGAACATGGCAAATTTAATGTAGTGTTCGATTATAACCATGATTCTGATTTTACTTAACTAACGATAACGGAATCCAGATTTTGACTCTAACTAGTCAGTTATACGAACCATCAGAAAGTATTGGCAATATGTTGCTTAATGAAGTGTGCGAAATTATTCTGTTGATCATCCTCCTCAGTTGGTCATGATAAGTTAATTAAATCATGCAATACGACTTTGTATGCTTTCTAGGTCTAGCATGGTGTGTTGTCTACACCCAAAACGGTGACTCAAAAGAGCTGTGCTAGAAATAATTATGCCTCTATCACGAAATAGCTTTGATATCGAAAAATAAGATGGAAAAAATGCTCCGACATATTTACTATCCGAAATGTAGCCATAGAACATGAATCAACAATTTCAGATGCTGCTTTCCCATGATTCGGCTGAACGAAGTCACCTATGTACAAAATCGACGAATTAATCAAGCAAATAATAACTCGAGATCGATAGATTTCAGCTCCCAGACCCATGCTGAATTTGAGAACCAGCTCTTTGGTCAACATATAATATACGATATGGAGATCAATCAAAAATCGTGCCATGGGATTCCAGGCTCCAGTAGCCCGACAGAAGCGTGGGTCCTCAAAACCAACCAATTCGTGAAATTGGAATGAGCTAATACCACTCTAAATACCACACCCAGCATATGAAAATAGTGACCTGGTCTGACCAGTAACAATTTCTGCCCGAATTTCTAGATTCCGCATCGTTATGTACTATTTTGAAATACAATTTCCACAAAATATTTTTTATTGACAACTCAAACAACCGTACTTATCCAAAATATCTAAGCAATTCCGAAAGAAATTTCAACTTAGTATTCAGAATGAAAAACTGAGTCGTTATCTTGATTAAACTCATATGCATCTACAATTTTGTGATGTGCAATTTGAAACATTTTGACATTTAAATATCTATAAATAATTTAAGATTCGATACTGAATTTGGAGGTGTTCGAAAGTTTATGTGCAACATGCTGTACCGTAGTTCTTCTAACAGTAAGGCGAATCTATTCTTAATTTAGACTGATGGAGTTTTAAGTATGCTGCACACTTACCTAGTGAGCCCAGGCTAAGTGTAACTAGCTCTTATCTTTAAAACCGCTGGAGATTATCAAAATCTGATAAGTGCGTTGGATTCCTCATGCGATTTTGCATAAATATCACCAATCAATTTTTTAATACTTGCAAAGCTTATCAGCAGCGAAAGCCTTGAGAGGACGCGGGCGGTGATAATTTTGCACCAAAAAAACCTGAAGAGAAATAGCGAATTTGAAAACTATGACAGGAGTCGAACGTGCACTTGAATTTAGTTCAACGGACTATAAAAACTTTCGTAGGGACAGGATGGACTAAGGGCAGTCGAATAATTTTTTTTAAACCTCCAACGATCACACCCATCGTGAATGCGCTGAAGGCTAGAATCCTAAGAAATTCACGAAATTTTAACGGAACAGCCGCACAGCTGACATTGTTGACGCAAATTATCCACCGAGCGCTCAAACCGAACCTTATGCTTGGGGCTTTGAAAAGCAGTACTTGCCACCTCCTGATCATGCCCTCAAAGAAAGCCATACTACAGAAATGAAGGGTTCACCTCAAGCGGTACGTGCCAAATAGGTTAACAGGATTCTGTTTACAAATGAGGGGATTTCGACTGTGAGGAAATCTTTTAACAAACAAAAATACACTGTATACGCAGAATCTGTCCAAGATGTCCCCCAATAAAGAAGAAGGTCAAAAGTTCTCATTATCTAGGTTTTGTGAAGGTTTTGGGTGGTGCAAGCTGATTGGGGGTAATTTCTCGTCATTTCGTCGTAAATGGGGGGAAGGTGATGGAATCAAATTTCTCAAAATACGTTTTTGAGTCCATAGTACATCCCCTCAATGGTATCTAGTTCAATGGAATCGAGTACACCTTTCCACCGGGCTCAGCACCAGCTCAAAGTGCGAAAAATGACCAAACCGTGACTAAAAAAACAAATTGCGGACTTTATCTCCACTTCGGAATGGTCATCCTCCTCGCTGGATTTGAATCCCAGGATTATGAAAAATGGTCAAAGTTAGGGGCAAAGGTGTGTTCTAAACCTCATAGAAGTTTGGAGGCTTTAAAAAAAATCTTTGACTACGGAATGAGACAATTTGTCCACGGATTCAGTGCGTAATTTCGTCGAGGGCTGGCGGCCGCCTCCTCAGCGCTGAGTTAATGCGGGGGAGGAAATTTCAAAAACCAAAAATTGTTTTCCACTCAGAATTTAACTGGCTTTCAACTAAAATTAACCAGAAATTTGTAGCATAAAAACTGTTGAGACTACAGCGTTTTATTTCAAAGACACGTAGGGTGGGCCACCTAGTACAATGCAAGTCTTTTACGTGTACAACTCAGATCGGGTTGGGACCAATTTTATTTTGTTTTTTGTTAAAAACTAAGCATACTCGTATTTTTTCATTTTTCCAAATGCGCTTGAGCTCGAGGCGCGAATTTTAAAACATTTTTCAGCCAAAACCTCGGTTTTTAAAATTTCTGTAAATTTTCGAATTTTAGCGCGAATCCAAAAATTCGAAAACATGTCTCTTCAGAATGGTCAAGTGAGTGAGGCAAATACCTAACAACGAAAAATATTTACTAAGTATGCATTTACCCCGCCCCAAAAAAGTGAAATAATTATATTTCTCGGCCATTTCTGAACCGATTGCGATGAAATTTGTGGCCAGATCATTGTGACGGAATTTAGAAACGATGTGCAAGTCGACTTAGCGAATTTTTGATTTTACCGAGTTATCCCCCAAAATGTGCAAAAATTTTCACTCGTAGGCACGTTTCTATCCAATATTCGATTTTGGACCATCACATAATCCTAAGCAATTGCAAAAGGGTTACATCAACTCGTTCTGAACATTTTAAGACCAAATTGACCGAAATCGGTTAAGAAATCATGATGCTATTCAATTTTGAAAACTAAAAATTTAGTAAAATTACTCTAGGTGCAAATATAATGGCGGTGCTGCGTCGTTGACAACCCAATTACAGGTTTTAAATAAACAAGGTCCCAAAAAATTGGTCTTAGTGAGCCAGTGCAATTATAGCTAATAAATAAAATTAGATTGCAGAATTTTTGCATCACCGCTCTCCGTACAATTTTTACTGGAAGAATTATGAATTTTGCTTTGCATTCTTAAATCTTAATTTGAGAAATCAGGGCGTTTTTATGCTATACATATGACGTATGTAGACATGCAGTGGACGAGAAAGGTGTTAAATGAGATATAATATCGTGGTTTAACAATCGTGAACTACAAAATTGTTTAAATAATATATTAATTTCGATATTATGCATTTCTATTATTATGAAATCTTCTTTTACGGGGCCAAGTATTCTAAGTTACTAACGCTTCCAGTATTAAATGGTACCGAGAGCGGTGATACAAAAATTCTTCAATCTAATTTTATTTATTAGCTATAATTGCACTGGCTCACTAAGGAGGAAAGACCCTCTACATGCCCCTCTCAGATTTCGATGCCCTTTGGATATTTTGAAGTGTCCCATGAATGTACAACAATCCTGAAGTGGTTTGATGCCATGGCCACATTTGCGCCCGCCACACCCACTCAAAGGTGCCCAAAAATCGCTTTCACTCTAGCTTTCAACCATTCAAAACCACGCCAAAAATCCAATTTTACTCCGATTTTGAAATTTCTTTCACCATTATACTCCTAGATAGTTGCTCTCTTTTGTCCAACATCAAACTCAACTTTATGAAATTTTTAGTATTTTTAAAATTTAAAATTCTGAATGAGCATTGTTGAGTAATCAACAAAGCAAATTATTTCTGCGAAATAATCATCGAACAAGTTGAGTTTGATGTTGCACAGAAGAGAGCAACTATCTAGGAGTATAATGGTGAAAGAAATTTCAAAATCGGAGTAAAATTGGATTTTTGGCGTGGTTTTGAATGGTTGAAAGCTAGAGTGAAAGCGATTTTTGGGCACCTTTGAGTGGGTGTGGCGGGCGCAAATGTGGCCATGGCATCAAACCACTTCAGGGTTGTTGTACATTCATGGGACACTTCAAAATATCTAAAGGGCATCGAGATCTGAGAGGGGCATGTAGAGGGTCTTTCCTCCTAAGATTTCCCATTTTTTGGGACCTTGTTTAATCTACACTTTTTAATACTTGAAGCATACTTCAGTAAAAGTAATTAAACTTCAATTTGATTTTTTTAACTTTAATTACTAAAAGTGCGTGTGGTTGGAATCAGTGCCCGATCTTGGTTTTGGCGCCCTGGGCAAACATATGGGGCGCCCCCGTCCCTCTAAAAATCTTAAATTTCCACAACTAACTTGCTAATTAGTCTTTTATGCTTTTATACTAATATTAGATAAAGTATATGCATATTATTCAGTTTCGTACAACCTTACTTAACTTTGGTGAAATGGAATTGTATCTATTTAAAAATTATAATAGAAATTACGTTTTATAAAGTGCATAGACAATGATTGCAAAATCTATTCCGTCGATAAAGCTATCCAATTGGCAAAGACGTGACTTATTATGTTCGTGTGAGATTAACGTAAAAACCCGCAGTGGAGCCTTATATGGCCCGGATCAATGTGTTGAATTATAAATGATTAATTTTATCTCAATTCCACTTCATATTTTTCCACTAGTCGTAAATGTCGTAGCCGTCGTAAAATCCGGTAACTATAGGGGTCTGTAAAGTTAAAATGT